CCACCACTCACTATCACCACCACCACCATCACTACTCACCACCACCACCACCACCACCATCACCACCACCGTCACCATCACCGTCACCATCACCACCATCACCACCACTGCCAATTGGTCATGGAACCAGTGGTCGAAGACAGAGACACACACACAGAGACACTCCACCCAACCGAACACACCTACCCACACACAACCCCCCCCCCCCACCCCACACACACACATATAAACACACACACATACCATGAAGCGACTGTTTGGCGTCGGTGCCAAGAAGGCCCCACCCCCGTCGCTCTCGGACACCACAGGCAACGTACGCTCCCCCCCCCCCCCTCTCCCACCCTTCCACGCATGTGCTACCAGGACGCTGTCTCACTCTAGCTCACCACATCATGTTTACAGATCGACAAGCGAGTGGATGGGCTCAACGAGAAGATCCGCAAGCTCGATGCCGAGCTACTGCGGTACAAGAAGCAGATGGCCAAGATGCGGCCTGGGGCGGCTAAGAACGGAGTCAAGCAGCGTGCGCTCCGTGTGCTGCGGCAGAAGAAGATGTACGAACAGCAGATGGACCAGCTGATGCAGCAGTCGTTCAACATCGAGCAGACGGCGTTTGCCATCGAAACGGCACAGGACACGGTCCAGACCGTGACCGCCATGAAGGAAGCCAACAAGCAGCTCAAGAAGCAGTTCAACTCCAAGGCGCTCGACATTGACGCCATCGAGGACCTGCAGGACGACATGGAGGATCTGTTTGAGCAAAACCAGGACATCCAGGAGGCCATGGCCCGCTCATACGGCGTGGCGGAGGACTTTGACGAGGAGGATCTGGACGCCGAGCTCGATGCTCTCGGCGAGCTCGACGACTTTGACTTTGAGATGGAGTCCAACGCCACGCCGTCATACCTCTCCGACGTCTCTATTCCTACCACTACTCCGGGCGCCGTTCCCGCCGCTGGCGAGACTGAGGAGGTCGACGAGTTTGGCCTCCCGCTGGTGCCTGCGCAGACTATGGGCGCGTGAGTCTTGCTGCGTAAACATGATCAAGCTTTACCTCACCTCGCCACGCGCAGCGAGAGGATGGAGCGGACGTCGTCCACAAAGCGGAGGATGTTGAGAAAGGGGAGAAGATCGAGAAGCGCCTCGTCGTTGACATTGGACTGCCACGTCTCGATGGGGATGGCGTTGTGCCGGTTGATCATAAAGGCCGATGGCGAGTTGTCGACCAGAACGGCCTTGGCCAGGTCGCCGTCGCTGCGGGTGATGGACACGTCCTTGGCAAAGCCAGTCGGCAGTAGCGTGCACGACTCGCGAAAGTAGCGTTGCGCGATGAGCTCCGAGTCTGGGTCGAGTGCATCGAGCACGGGATTGGCGTACTGGTGGAGCGACGCCGTGAACACGACAACGTCGTACCACGCCGCCACCTGCCTGAGGAACGCGTCGACGTGCGGCCGCTTGAACACATAGAATACACACGGGAACGAGTCGATGTGGACTCGGAGCTCAAGATCCGGCTCGCCCGCCGGCCGCAGCGTCGAGTGCACCAGCGTCTCGTCCAGGTCCAACACCAGCGTCTTGCGCTCGAGCCGCCGCAGCAGCACTCTGTTCCGCAGCGGATTGAGGACTGTCACCGACGCATCGGCCCGATTGATGACTGTTGGCGGCATGTCCATCTTGGCGCTCCCAATCCCGCCCGCCGCCGCTGCCGCCGCCACCGCCGCCGCATCCGCCCCGCCCGACAACGCACTTGCCGCTACGCTCCCCACCCCGGCACCACCGTCAGCACCATCCTCAGTTGACACCGTCAGCGGGCCACCGTGGGGTGTCGGCAGTTCTGGTGAGAAGAACAGCTCGTAAAAGTACGACTGCCGTCCACCTCCGTCCGTCCGCCCAGCCCGTCCGTCCGTCCAGCCCGTCCCACACGGAGCCCAAACAGAGTGGACGACAAGAGACACGCGCCACAGTGATGGGTGGTACCATGAGACACACACAGATACCGCAGATGATGCATGAGTCCATACTCTCCCTCCACCTCCCCTTTCCCACCACCACCACCCCCTCTTCCCCGCACCCCTCCACCTCCCCGTCCGCCCCCCCCC